TTGTATTTTAGCTTGTTTTTGAGACTGATATTTCAAAAAATTAAATGTACCCCATATAAGGAGTTGTCAATCAAACTATTGTAGATTCACATTCCTATAAGTTTGTTTACATCAGCGACGCCCGGCGAATTTGAGACGGGTCGCTAAATTAGCCAGCACTCGCTCTCAAATTCGCCCAAAACCCGTTTTTAAGTGATTTTTCGAGTCATTTGCTGCCACAGAAGCCCCTAGGACTGCATCATTAAGCTCGACTAGGCGGCAGAGACACTCTTCTGGAAGAAATCAGAGGCGGGAAGCGATTTTTCGAAGACAATGTCGCCAATACGAAGTTAGCTTTGAATTGCCGACGTTAGAGAAAGGTCGCCTCCCTAGTCGTTCTGTGGCAGATTTCAGAACCTACCAAGGTAAAATTGGCAAGTTTGAACATCCAAAGAATGCAATCGGTGCAATATTTTGCCTGTAGGTGCGAGTGGCTTGACACTTAAAAAAAATCTATGAAAACAAGACCGTTGGATGCTCCCTGTCGAGATTGAACATCACTCCCATGATGCAGTTCGAACCCACAAGTGAGAAATCTGTGTTTTCTGTGCTGGGTCTCAAAAACGGGCCTGTGGCTAGATCTGTGGGGACTTCCACCAAACAAAAATGCGAAAATACTAAAGACCTGGAATGGGCAATTTCAAAAAACGTAGAATTTCGATTTGCAAAAGATAATTTTGACTCTAAAACTGGAGACGAAAAGACGTGATTCCCAGCCTTATTGGTGCACCAAAAAGTCGAAATTTGGGCGTTCYTATCTKTCAGGGGTCYATTTTGCCCAAGTATCGCGCTTGATTTGAAATCTTTTKAACTCTAAGATAGAGTTATACTACTAGCTGTTGTCATGGAGTACATTTGGTGGTCTTCTTTTGCGATCTCKGAAACTTGTAATTTTTAGAAGCATCGTTCCTGAAGGAACGATAATCCCTAAAGCGGACGTTAAAGGGTTAATGGTTGTCTGATAATTAGGTGTATTTTGGCTTGATTACTATTCAAAAAATACCTTCAAATTGTGGGCGTGCTCATAGGTCGTGATGGTACCAGTCTTGACCAAATACTGATCAACTCCCACCAAACCAACAATGTTTCCACATGGCACATCAGGAATAGGCTCAGTGTACCGTCCCATCATCAAAATGGTTCTACAAGGAAATATTGTGACTCATGGCAAACAAAACTAGCACTAAATAGTACATACCAAAGGTACATTGGAAATATAAAGCTAAGAATTAAATAGAAAACTAAAAATTTGAAATAACAGGAAGTCAATTATGAAAATAAAGTGGTCTTTTCGGAACAGGAATGTCTTTAGCTGATTCTTGAATGATGATACTAATGTTAAGGTATCTGGGGAGAGTTGTTTTTAGTACAGACCATGACGAAAGAAACGCATCAAAATGCAGTTAATATTTGGCCAAACGAAGGATAAAAGACTAAAATATGTCATACACCTAATTACACAAACGTTGTTCAAGAAAAAAGAAYTTTTACTATTTAGGAATTAMTTAAAAAACAAAAAAAAGTGTTCGGCTTCAGTGTTCATGCTTTGTCTTTTAATGTATTTTTAATTTCCTAAATCCTTAAATCTCAGGACAATGTTTTCGTAATTAGGTGTATATAAAATTCATGAAAATCGAGCATAATGTATTCAAGTTATAGAAAACATTAAACTTGAATATTTGGTAAACAAGCCTATTTTTTTAAGTAATGGCCCGAGTAAGAACTAGAGAAGCAAACAGCAAAGGAATTCAAGAAGGTGCTAATTGTGTATTGTATAATCCATCCATCCCATTGGTTAAAACATGAAAATCTGCTATAATTTTACAAGTTAGCGAATTTTCTAATATTATTTAATATCTAATTCCGACTTCATGAAAGCTTTCTTTAGCTACAATATTAAGGCAATTCTATGTGGGGAACATAGCAAATTAGAAGCATCTTTTGGCTATTGTTTTGAGTGCTTATGATTGGATAAGAGGTTTTAATACAAAAGAAACTTTGTTTCAAAATAGAGTATCACATTTGGGTTAATATTTAGAGTTAGTGCATGATGTGCATGACGGTACAAGTGATGTATCCAYTTTTTGACGTCGAAAACAAAGAAATCCATTSTTTTAGCAGCGAAAGCAATGGATTGTGGGYGCATAATATCAGCTCTGACTTTTCTGTACATTTGTGTACGGAAAATCTATATTTTGTGAATTAGGATTGTTGCCTTGCTTCGCACGCTTCAGGTGCGCTACGCTGCGGCAGCAATCATCAGTGAATTCTACAGCAACAAAGGTGTGATTGGGTTTCTCTGTGACTGGCATAATCAAGAAAGCTGTCATACAACATTTTAATATAGTTTAGAAAAAAAGGATGCCTTCCATTGTCATTGATACACTCCTACAGCACTACAAAACTTCTTTTCAAAGAAGATTGATTAAAATCAACTCAATGTTCTAAGGGAGACAATGTAGGTGTGTTATGATGGTCCGTGTGTGTWAAGTCTTGTCATGACTTCATGACTCTCACACAGGATGTCAAATGTGTTTATTCAATTCCAGCTTTTATTGTACATATTACATATTAACATAAGCAAATAGCATGTCTGCTTACCTCTGAATGCTCTTGTTATAAAGATCTTCCTTCTTTCCTGGTTGATATTTGGGACCCATGATACGRACTTTCATGCCAGTGGCCACAGTTCCCGAGAACACACGACCAAATGCAAAGAATCTTCCTTTGTCAGCAGTTGGTACCATTTTGGACACATARAGGCAGAGATGACCCTATAAACAGCATGATAAACTTTAACAATGACATATGATATATGCACTAAAACACAAGAATTCTTCTCCCAATGACTTATATATGTGTATCCATGATCGGTATATACCTATTTATTATATACATATCGGTCTATCTATCTTTATATAAAAATTGATTTAATTGGCCGAAAAAAATGCAGTGTCACCATGCCAACAATGATATCTTCACATGTGAAAGATATGATATCTTTTCATGGTTCAAAATATAGCATTTTCACAACTAGAGAAAACCTGGTATCTCATCGAYATGTATATAATAAATATAAATATACAGATCCTATATGCAGAATATTTCTGAACTAGTTATTTTTTGGTGTTTGCATAACTTTTCCGTTAAATAGCTGATTTTTTTCCTATTCTCGCTCTAGTTTTGAAATTCGCACTTGAAAAACTGGTGACATAAAAACCATGTTTACATACTCTCATGCAAACACAGCACTCAGCCAATCAGAAAGTGCATAGCACCTAAGTTTTATTTCATAAATATAAATGCCAACTCCTGAGGTTTCAAAAGTAATAGCGGATCAGTATGTTATGAGGTATATAGATTAGAGTATAAAAAGGCCTCTATCAAGACACTCTAATTTAAGCACCATAACAATGGTTTACCTTTGGATCACATGATTCAATAGCTTTAGCAACTTCATCATCCTTAGGACCTTCATACAACATCTCCATTCTGTACTTCTGAGCAACAACAGGTGAGGGTAGATGAATAGTGATCATCTGAAGCATAGTGTCACCTGCAGGKATCCAGCGTCTCATAACAGCTTTCAACAAAGGCTTCCCTTCCATGTCCTGACACAAATCATTTACAGTTAACAACTGGATAAGTCAACCTTCACATGACTGTACATTACCTTTTCTTCAGTGGACAATTTGATGTTAAGCTTTTCAAGGAGTTGTCCTGTCTTTTCTTTCTTGAAGTTCATAATTGCATCAAAAAGCTGAAAGAGTTGTGCTTTTTAGAGGTACATTTTTAAATAGGTCAATATAAATATTATACATGAAAATCAAACAAAAACTACATGCAGAGGAATCTTGCAATATACCTTGTAGATAGGGTCAAGAACAAACTGGTTGAATCCACGCACATATCCCTCGCCTCCAACTTTGTTCCATTTCTTTTCTTTGGGATTAAAGTAGTTATCACCCCAAAGTCTTTTCATAAGCTTTGGTATATCAATCTTAAACTTAGATGCATAAATCTCAGCAAATTGCTTAAGAGAGAATGCCCATCCATGCAGACCAGAGCCAAATCCAACGGTGCCAGATGGAGCAGCAACCTGGGACAAGTGGAGGAATAAACCTGTCAGCTTATGAACTGAACTATATGTTGCATGAAGGAATATTTGACTATCAAAATCCTACAACAAATAACTAATATAGACTACATGAAGGGATATCATAAGAATATAATATTTCTAATGCAGCACAATCTGGGAAAAAAGCAATGTATTTTCAAAGACAAGAGATAAAGTTGCTGTGATGTCCACATTACCTGAATGTTACCCATTGGTCCATCTTCATCACTGTAAGTAGCAATGATGACATTGATGCTCTCAATAATTCTCTGGAAAGTTTGATACAAGTCTTCCATTTCCAACTGTAATTCAAGAAGTGCTCTGTCCATCTTGTTGAGAAACAAGACTGGCTTTATGCGCTCGGAAATGGCTTGACGCAACACTGTTTCAGTTTGCACACAGACTCCTAATGTTACCAACACACAAAATAAGTAAGTATCAACAATGAACCTTAACATCTACCATCATGTCACTTGGACAATCTACCATCATGTCACTTGGACAATCTACCATCATGTCACTTGGACAATCTACCATAATGCCACATTGACATCAGCTCAAAACTTTCTACACAGTTTGTAGGTCATTAACTGCTATGCAAGTTCTTACAATACCAGTAAATGAATAATATCAATGATTTAGCCATAAAAATGGCAACAGAATTGCTTTGAATATCCAAACCAAGAGTCAATAAAAGAAGGTCAAATGGGCAGCGTGGCAGTGTAGTAAATTTCACACGAAGGAATACTTTAATAGATGTATGTATTGTAAAGAACGCTTCTAGATTTAAGAACATTAACCCTTTGTTAACTCTTAGACCCTAAGAGGTTGATGGAATATTTGACTTCCATATTATAAGGTGTTGCCAATTAAACTACTGGGGTTGCATTCCCTAGGAAGCTTTAATTTATACAATACCTTTTAAATTTAGTTAGCATTGCTTGTTTGCAATTGAGTCTAAATTCATTTTTTTAGGTTTTTGCTTGAGCCCCTACTATTTCAAACAAAGACTCTATAGATGTGAAAATGAAATACTTATAGCTTAATGACAGCAGCTGACCATTGAAGCAGCTACAGGAAGCCCACGTATGTATTCTTACTGATTAACAAAGACATTATTATTATTATTATTATTATTATTATTATTATTAGAACATATTTTGAGACTAGAAATTGAGATGGAAATCAGTATTTCCTGCACTACTCCAAATGCAAATTTGCCATTCATTTTTAAGCAGAGTACTGTTTTTTTGGTTTTTGGTTCCTTGTTGCCAAATTCTTCATTCCCAGATAATTAATGTGAGTGAATAATTAAAAACATGTACCATTAGAAACATGTACCACTGGCAGTGTGAACATACATTCCAGCTGTACTGTATAGTGCAATCTATTAGCACTTACCACTAACACTATCCACAACAACCAAAGCACCATCAGTGACACGCAAGGCAGCAGTCACTTCTGAGGAGAAGTCAACGTGTCCAGGAGAATCAATAAGGTTGATAAGAAAACCATTTTCAGWCTTGTCAGATGCTGGTACAAACTGCATGTCACTGGCACTCAGTTCGTAATACATGGAAATAGCACTGCAAATAAAAACAACTGTGATCTATACTGTAGAACAGTTAAATAATAATATTCATAATCACGAATTTCTGTTTAACAGACAAACAGAGAAGAGATATAATTCAGGTGTAAATTAGCCTCGGCACCAGCCAGGAGCTTAGAGGCTAAGCACCTTTTGTAAAATTAGGGTGTTCCAAATGACTGCAAACGTCTGCATATCACCCAGAACATACCACCCACAAACCTACTCGTCACAACCCCAAGACAACCAACAACCAACAACATTTGTTGATACCCGGTGCATCTTATCTCCTTTGCCAAAGGTGCATACCTTGGCAACCTTTTCATTCTCCTTCAACACCACGTTCTTGTCCAACGGCACTGAGAAATTAACAAACGTCCGCTCCCCAGTCGCCCTATTCAACACAGTAACATCCAGACGATTATGTTCCATCTTCTGTGTTGCCTCGAAGCCCCTGTCCCACCAAATCTCTACCTGACCATCCTCTGACACCCTTAYCTCATCRGGTACTTCCTYATWCCAAACATCAGCACACTTCACTCCATACTTCCTACACAGTTCCCAATACACCCTCAAGCCCATTCTATCATGCCTTCTCCTGTATTCCTTTTGAGCTAGCCCACTACAACCACTCGCCAAATGTCCCACAGACTCCACCTCCTTACCACAAACCCTGCACAAATTAAAACAAATTTATCCATAGCAAACTCAAGAACACAAATCATGAACATAAAGTAGATAAGAATCCCAACTGTTGAGGAGGTGAGCCAGCATGCATGTATGCTTATTTACTTTGATTGCATGGACTCCACACTACAGTATCATAAATAGCCACTTACGTTGATTTGATGGTAATACAACGTTCTTGTTCATCTTTCCTGGTATCTGTGAATCTTGTTTCACCAGCTTTTGCAGAAGCAATGATGCCAGCTTTACTAACAAGGGAGTCAGTCAATGTGGATTTACCATGGTCAACATGGGCAATGACAGACATATTACGAATGTTATGTTTTTTATCCATGATTGAACGGATCTAATAAGACAAGAAAAAAGATATTAGGAGTATTGTATTGATCACTAAGCATCTAAATCATGCAGTAGGGAGAATGTATGTAATTGAGTGTAATATAAGCATGTGCTTTCCTTTTATAAAACTTCYAAGATTCAGTAGCTCCACTGAATCCATCATAGTATAAAAACAAGATGGTGTCTTAAAAGGTAATTCTTTCTGACTCGATCAAAAAACAAAATGATTTTTGATAAGTTAAAATCAATAATTCATTAAAACTGTAGTATACTTAGTATACTAATGGAAAA